CTGGATCATCCAAACCTCTGTAAGTTCTTCGGAGGGTGTGTGGAGGTTCCCAATGTGGTGATCGTGACGGAGTACTGTCCGAAAGGAAGCCTGAACGATGTCCTGCTGAACGATGAGATTCCCCTTAACTGGGGTTTCAGGTGGACACACATACACACGTGTTGACGGTAACAAAGTTGACGATAAATGAGTTGACGGTAACAGAGTTGACGATATTAGAGTTGACGACAACAGAATTGACGACAACTGAGTTGACGGTAACAGAGTTGACGATATTAGAGTTGACGACAACAGAATTGACGACAACTGAGTTGACGGTAACAGAGTTGACGGTAAAGGCTGATTTATACTTCTGCGTCAAACGCCGGTGTATGCTTCGCCGTGGCCGTCGGCGTCACTGATGTGCACCTCTCAAAAATTGTAACTACACGTCACAACAACGCGTAGCGTAAGCTCTGTGATTGGTCGGCTTGGTAACTTGGTAGAGTCTGGGCGGGACCGAGAGCCGCGCGCATGGTGCGAGCGATTGTTTACAAGTGTGGAGTCCCGTGAAGGAGCTCCGGATGGAAAGTTTTGTTCTGTGTTTACCTCATGGTTAAAGTTGCTGCACGTCCGCCGGTTCCTGCCTCAAAATGAGCGAGTTTGAGTCACTTGTACATCTAGGAAGTGTTCAGAAAAGCCAAACAGAAGCGAAGAAACTCGACACAGAGGAACATTTACACCTCACTGCCCACTAGCGTTTCGGAAGTGTTAATGCAGACCAACAGAGACAGCAGCAGAAGTATAAATGCACAGCCACGCGCGTTGCCTGCGCCGTGAGTTACGCCGGTCACTTGACGCAGAAGTATAAACCAGGCTTAACAGGGTTGACGGTAACAAGGTTAACGATAACAGTGTTGACTGTAACAGAGTTGACGGTAATAGAGTTAACGATAACAAAGTTGACGGTAACAGAGTTGACGGTAACAGAGTTGACGGTAACAGAGTTGACGATATTAGAGTTGACGATAACAGAATTGAGTTGACAGTAACAGAGTTGACGGTAACAGAGTTGACGGTAACAGAGTTGACGGTAATAGAGTTGACGATAACAAAGTTGACGGTAACAGAGTTGACGGTAACAGAGTTGACGGTAACAGAGTTGACGGTAACAGAGTTGACGATAACAGAATTGAGTTGACAGTAACAGAGTTGACGGTAACAGAGTTAACGATAACAGAGTTGACGGTAACAGAGTTGACGGTAACAGAGTTAACGATAACAGAGTTGACGGTAACAGAGTTGACGGTAACAGAGTTGACGGTAATAGAGTTGACGATAACAAAGTTGACGGTAACAGAGTTGACGGTAACAGAGTTGACGGTAACAGAGTTGACGATAACAGAATTGAGTTGACAGTAACAGAGTTGACGGTAACAGAGTTAACGATAACAGAGTTGACGATAACAGAGTTGACGATAACAGAGTTGACGGTGACAGAGTTGACGGTAACAGAGTTGACGGTATCAGAGTTAACGATAACAGAGTTGACGGTAACAGAGTTGACGAAAACAGAGTTGACGATAACAGAGTTGACGATATTAGAGTTGAAGATAACAGAATTGAGTTTACGGTAACAGAGTTGACGGTAACAGAGTTAACGATAACAGAGTTGACGGTGACAGAGTTGACGATAACAGAGTTGACGGTGACAGAGTTGACGGTAACAGAGTTGACGATAACAGAGTTGACGATAACAGAGTTGACGATAACAGAGTTGACGGTGACAGAGTTGACGGTAACAGAGTTAACGATAACAGAGTTGACGATAACAGAGTTGACGATAACGGAGTTGACGGTGACAGAGTTGACGGTAACAGAGTTAACGATAACAGAGT